TTTTTTGTTTTGGAAGAGATTATTACTCCCTCGCAGATCGACTAACAACCGGGTTCCTACTTCCTGCTAGGTAAACAGAGGCATGGGGAGTAAGGAAACTTGCCGAAGCTTTCACCCTGCCTGGGACACGAACCCTCGCCCTCTCGCTCGTGAGACGGGTGTGCTAACCACTACTCTGCAGGATCCAGAATTGGCTGATAGTTTTTACTATCTCAGCATGGGGTGTCTCCACTCACTCTCTGAGCTGGGCCAGTGGGGTGTGGGCACTGAGTGGAGCTCCTTCTGGTGCCCTGTTTTGTGCATGGGAGCTTAAACATGCTGGGCTGGCAAACAGTTCACCTGGCCCCATCTTTGCCGTTGCATGCACATGTCATGTCCCAAACTATATACTGTATCCCATGATAGTATTTCCTAAAAGAAATCTATCAAATTTGCTTTTGAATGAATCAACACTTTCAGCTTCCACCATCTCCCCAGGGAACCTGTTCCATACATTTACCACTCGCTCACTGTGAGAGTCTTGCCGCAAATTAGTTTCAAATTTATCCCCTTTCAATCGCAGGCTATATCCTCTGGTTCTACTGTTCTGGACAAGATTAAAACAGCTTGTCATGGTCTACATTATCCAGATAATAATAACAGTATTATTACATTATACATGATCACACCTGGTGAACAGTCTAAACAGGGCAGGTAGCACTGTCTTCCACTAGGGTGGATAATGTCGAATAAATCAGGTTTCTGTCTATTAAATATTGTGTGCACAGGGATCCCAAGTGTAAACAGTAAGATTCAACCCTCCCCTCTGTTATACACTGATCCAGGATGTTGATATACAAGTTCAGAAGTGCTGACGTGTTTTTTCTCTCTCTCTCTCTACAAGTACTGCTGATAGCTAAGCTGTCGGCAGTCTTTCAATGTGTAAACGCACCGCAGCTTTTAATTAAACTCAGCAGCCTGCAAGTACTTTCCGTCAAAAAGCAGAGTTTGCACCTTCAAAGCTAATTTAGCAAATGCTACCTCATTATTCAAAGAGAAAGGAGTGAGACCCGAGCCTGGAAATTATAGATCAATTAACCCAACATCTGTAGTGGGGACGGTGGAATGGGAGTGGGGGATTGCTTCAGATCTTTATACAGGATATTTAAACAGCAGAGACTCTGTGAAAAGCAGTCAGTATATATGTACAAGCAATATGCTTCCTGTAGCTACTGAAATTCTCTGAAGATGCAAATAAAAATAATTTGATCACTCAATCCATGACTGTTTATGGGACACTGCTGTATGCAATGGCTGCCATATTTCGCCCACAAAATATACACTCAATTTACTTTACAGTATATTCTGTGAAGCTCTTTGATGTGATAAGGCGCTATATTGAATGTAAGGATTATTATTATAAGCAAGTGAATTAGTGGATGAGGGCCATTCAGTTGATTTAAATAAGTTGGATTTTCAGAAAGCATTTGATATAGTTCCTCATGTGAGTCTTTCACCATTTGTCCAGCGCTTTGGGACGTCCTCCTGATGTGAAAGGCGCAATACAAATGGAATTTGTTGTTGTTGTTTTTCAAGCAGAGGACATCGCTGGGGGTTCACAGGTTTAGTAGGGTGAGATTCATTCTTAGTTTCAAAAGGGAACCAGACAATAATAATAATAATAATAATAATAATCCTTGCATTTGATATAGCACTTTACACGTCTTCGAGACGTCTCAAAGCGCTTCACAGAATAGACTGTAAAGCGAATTTACTGTATATTTATGGGTGAAATGCGGCAGCCAATTACGCACAGCAGTGTCCCACAAACAGTCGTGGATTGAAGTGACCAATTTTATTATTGTTTTTTCTGAGGGATTACTTGAGGGATTATAGACAAATTCCTGGAAATCAGATCAATTCAGGGTAGTAAGATGGCTGGATTGCGGGAATCATTTAAGAAGTTGGATAGTTACATTAGATGTGATGCAGGTCATCTCCTACCTGATCTGTTAATGTGGTACTATGAATTGTAACTCGGCAATGCAACATAAGTGGAACGTTTATTGGAAAATCCATATTAGCTTCCAAAAGGGAACTAGGCAGATATATAAAAAGGAGTAAACTATTGGGGTAAGGGTAAAAGGCAGGTAAATGGGACTGAGTTCTGGAATTCCATACCCCAATTCTTCCACCTTGCCCGCTCCTTAGCCTCCTTCAAGTCCCGCCCCAAGACCCTCCTCTTCGACCATGCCATTGGCCAACCCCTTCCCCTTCCCTCCCTTCTCTGAGTCCTGTAGCTCAGTGGTTAGAGCACTCGCTTTGCAAGCGAGAGACCTGAGTTCAATTCCAGGCAGGGCGAAACCTTGGGCAAGTTTCCTTACTCCACACGCCTAATAATAATCCCTCCAAAACTCAAAACAATAATAAATTGGTCATTTTCAATCCACGACTGTTTGTGGGACATTGCTGTGCGCAATTGGCTGCCGCGTTCGCCCACAAATATGCAGTCAATTCACTTTACAGTATATTCTGTGAAACGCTTTGAGACGTCTGGAAGACGTGAAAAGCGCTATATCAAATGCAAGGATTATTATTATTATTCTCCCCCCCGACCCCAGCTCGGGTCTGAAATGCTGTACACGGTCCAGGGCCTTGGGAGGTACTCCCAACGTGAAAAGTGCTGTACAAATGTAATCTTGTTGTTGTTCTCTCTCTGTCTGGAGATTCCTGAATAACGTGGTTTAATACTGTATGTTTTAGTATAAAATATGCTGATGGCATCAGACTTTGAGAGTAGCCCTCATGGTGCAGTGACAGAGCTGCAGCTCACCAACCAACAACAACAAAATTACATTTAAATAGCGCCTTTCACGTAGCAAGGACATCACAAGGCCCTGGAAATTTAAAGGTTTGCACCCTAGCTGAGTGCTGGAATTAGTAGGGGTGGAAGGTAGGCAGGGAGGGAGGGTAGCCAAAGCAAGATCAAAGAGGAAAGTCTTGAGAAGGGCCTTGAAGGAGGCAAGGGAGGGATTCCAGGATGGAGTTCCAGAGGATGGGAAAGGATTATCGATCATTCACTCAGAGGTTTGCAGTCAATGTGAAGCGCTGTCAGCAAACTTTACAGAGAACTACAGAGTATTAAAGATAGTTGCAGTTTAATCTGAGCTTCGTGAGTGGATTTGACAACAGAATCTTGCATCACTTAAGATCGCTTGTCACAGTACGTGAATTTTAGTGAAGCTGAAACACCTTTGAAGCAAAGCTGCTTCGTGCAACCAGAAATTGAAAACTAGTGATAATTGCCATCAGATTTATTCAAGAAACAGCACAGGACACCAACTGAGGGATCAGGATCAGGGATCAGGATTTTGGGGAGAGGTTTTGTGCAGTCCGAGCTGCTGGTACAACCTACAATGGCCTGTTCCACTAACCCGCTCAGTAACAACAACCTGCACTTATATAGCACCCCTCACGCAGGGTTGGGTCTCAGAGTGCTTGACAGTGGCGGGGCACAACACCGAGCAGGGGGAGGTGACCATAAGCATGGTCGAAGAAGAAGGTCTTCAGTCACGACTTGCAGATGGGGAAGGAGGGCACAAGGTGGAGGGATACAGGATGAGTGTTCCAGAGTTTCGGGGCGTAATGATTCAAAGCCTGGCCACCGATAGTGGAACGGAGGGCATGAGGTACATGCAGGGGGCTGGAGCCAGTCGAGTGAGGCTATGTGCTTCATTGGCATACTAGCACCTGTATCTGCCTGGTATCTGCAGTGTTTAGCAGTGTGATTTTAGTAACTGTCATTCTTGTTTTTTTTAATTAACGCTGTTTGACGGGCATTCAGAGGGCAAAACTGTAGAAATTTACAGCACAGAAAAGGTCCATTCGGCACATCACGTCTGTGCTGGCTCTTTTGACGGTTATTACACTAACCTGATCGTTTCGCCCTTGCTGCTCAAATGTTCGAAATAATATAATAAGAAAAAGTGAGCAAAGGGTATTTCGCCCATCAAGTCTGCTCTCCTAAAATGCAGCCTCCTTCTCTCCTCAATGCAGGGTCCTCACTGCACATTATCACTGTGATCTGTGAAACATTTTACAGCTCAGTATGCATCTCTCCTTCTAATCTTATACTCTGATACTCACATCCCCAAAGCTTGTTTGAAGGAAGTCGTTGACACAGTATAAAGTGAGTCTGTTCTCAATCTCAAAGACAATTTCTTCTAATCTCTGATGTTGCTTCAGACTCTTAATTTTAAACCAATGCCCTCTGGTTCTGCTCTAACGGTCTAAGCCTGCTACATCTATCTCATTTGTGCCTCTAATCATTTTAAAGATGTGGATCACATCCCCCCGCCTCTCTGCATAGCTCTAATTAATATACAGAATCATCCTTGTTTTTAGCCTGGCTCAGTCAGTAGCACTCTTATCTCTGTTTCAGAAGGTTACGGGTTTCAAGCTGTACATTAGGTCTTGAAGCTCAGGACTTAGAACTCATATGGCGCTTAACGGTAGCTTCAGGGTCCGCCACTGTTAAGAGTTCTGAGACGAAGGGTGCCATATAAATGCAAGTTTTTGTTGTTGTCTAAGTTGATGTGCCAATGCAGTGCTGGGGGAGCGCTGTATTATCAGAGGTGCCGTTCTTAGGATGAGATGTTAAATTGTCTACATGTTCAGGTGGACTTTAAAGATCCCATGGCACTATTTGACAGAGAAGGGAGTTTTTCCCAATGTCCTGGCCAGCCGTCCCCAAGATAACATTGGGCATTCACCTCACAGCTGTTTGTGGAATATTGCACAGTCACTACACTTCAGAGTAAAATCCTGTGAAGCACATTGAGACGTTTTGACAACATGACAATAGATAGAGAGAGGGTGAGGTGGAGGGATAGAGCCAGGGAACACCAGACATTTGAGGTGCACTGGCTGAAGGCAAGGCCACCGATGGTGGTGTGAAGAGTTTAATGGTAGGTGACTGAAGGATTTTTGCACTGATTCTCTTCATCTTTTTCATACCACAGGGTGGGTGTCAATCCAGATGATGAGCTAAACATGGAAACTGTACATGTGGTGAGTATCTACATAAATGCAAGTTGTTGTTGTACACTATCTGATTCAAGCACCGCTTTGTGGCAGCGAGTTCTACATTCTCATTATTTTCTGTGTAAAGAAGATCCCCCGGTCGGTGTCTCAGATTTACATACAGTTCTGTTCTCTGTGACACAAGGCATTTGGTTGGCCACCCCCTACGGGCAGCACAGTGGAGAGCAGCGAGGCTGGTTGGCAATGTTAAAGGGATAACCCATGAGAAACAATGTGAAAAGCCTTTAAAAAGAGACACCTCTTGGGGATCGTACACATTTTATATGAGACGCTAAATAAGATGAAGTGGACCCGAAACAATAGTTGCGGGATGCCAAGGCAGCAAGATTTGTAAACCTCCAAGATAAAGCTCTTTTCCCTGCTCTCAAGAGTAATGAAGTACAGCAGCAGAATATTAATTTTGTCACAACCCACACACAGATTGCTGGTCTGATGCTTTGCTTTGCCCATTGACCTTGTAGTGCAGGAGCTACAGGCTTTGTACATTATTTGGTTCTGCGTATCCTTATGGTTTTCAATCCTTTCCTTAAATAGGTGTCTATAACAATAATAATAATCCTTGCATTTATATAGCAACTTATCACGATGCTGAGAAGTCTCGAAGTCCTTCACAAAATATATTGTAAAATGCATTGTGTATTTTATGGGCGAGACGCAGCAGCCAATTACTCACAGCAGTGTCCCACAAACAGTCGTGGATTGAGTGACCAGATTTTTTTTCTGGAGGGATTATTACCTTTGGAAAGTGATCTGCTAATTGACAACCAGGTTCCTAGTTACTGCTAAGTAAATAGAGGCGTGTGGAGCAAAGAAACTTGCCTCTTCCCTCACCCGGGAATCAAATCCAGGATCCTCTCGCTTGCAAGGCGATCACACTAACTACTACTCTACATGACTCCACCAGCAGGTCTATCCAGATGTTTTGATAGTTAATGAACACAGCTGGGAGTCTGTTTCTCATGTACACAATTCCATTCCAATAACTATTCTTCTACTCTCTTGTCTGACTTGAGGTTTCCACATTCTGAATTTGTGTTCTTTAATCCGTGGTAGATTTAAACAATAATAATAATCATGATATAATAAAGCTTGCATTTGATACAGCGCCTTTCATGTGGGGAGGATGTCTCAAACCTTTTCACAGAATAATAATAATAATAATCCTTGCATGTAGCGTCTGATCACATCTTCAAGACCTGTCAAAGCACTTCAACTCTCCTCTTGTGCATAGACCTGGGTGTGACCTGCTTTTCACTGCCTGAGTCTAAACCTCTTTTATTCCCAATATTACTCATTGTTCCACTTACGAATATCAGAAGGAGATCCCTAATGCCTGTTCCATAAGTTTATTAGATTGTGGCAGAACCTTTCTCCTAGTCCCCTGCCTTTTTCCCATATTCCTCAACACTATCACATCCCTATTCTACCTTTTAAGCATTGAAAAAAATTGGCTGTTTTTCAACAGCTTTCAGCATATTCATTCCTTCCCTTGTGGATATATTTTGTAATAAAATGCTAAGAACTATAATTTCTATTGTATTTTGCACATTTTAGTTATTCTTGAAGATGCTTGCTCAGCATTGTTAGTTGGGAGGTCTGTAAATTCCAATGTTAAAGTCTTCTAACTGCTTCCTTTGTCACAATCTCCACCGTCTCCAGTAAGCCTTAATGCACTTGTGATTTGATTCGTAAAGGCGTCACGGAGCTAAATCAACAATTCTCTCTGTCTACACAACACACAAAAAACCTTTGAAAGAATTATTGTTCTCTCTTTTCCTTCTCTCTCAGCCCTACACCCCACTGGCAGCTGACTTAGCCACACAATACTGAGAAATTGGTAATTAAAGGGGAATAACAGCAACAATGACCTGCAGTTACAGAGCACCTTTCACGTTGGATAACATCTCAGAAAGCCTCACAGGGATGGGGTCAGACAGGGGAGATGGGGAGGTCATCGCAGGGGCAGTCAAAGATAGAAGTTTCAAGGCTGAACCCCAACACACAATGCTCACTGGTAACAGTCCGTCACCCCCAGCCCTTCCTCCTTTAAAAAGCAGAGGCCCACCAAATTTCTCATGGTCTTAGCCTTCTTATCTCGACATTCACGATTCTAGAATTTTGCACAGGCTTCATTTGGAAGACTCTTTTAAGGAACTGTGAACAACATGCTTTCTCAATAAGACTGAATTTAACCATTTTCCAAAATTCTTTATAATCTTACATTTAAAGACGATAAGATATTCCAGGCTTGAAGGTTACTGACAGGGCTCTGCTGGGGATAGCGTTTGGGGGTTGGGTTGACACTAGTGCAGGAGGCACCATCATCAACAACAACAATAAATTACATTTGTATAATGCCCTTCATGGCGGAAGGACATCCCAAGGCGATAGACAATCAGAAATTTCGACCCAAATTGGGGGTTGGGATTAGGAGGTTTGGAGAGCAGGGAGGATAGGGATAGGAGAGTGGCTGGAGGTGCTTTCAAAGAGGTGGGTCTTGTGACGGGAGGATTTGAAGGAGGCAAGGGGGAGGATCCCTCACACTGTGCCCACCTGACAAAATCTGAATGCCCTCCATGGCAAAAGCACGACCAAAAAGATGGCCAATTCCAATTGTCCCCAACCTATTATACATCGCAACAGCTCTACCTTAGTAATAAATTATTATCTTTGCTTATGATATTGTGCCTCATTACGTCGTAGAGAAATCTCAAAGCACCTCTCAGAAATTTACTGTAAAGTATAGTAATTGTGTGTATTTGTGGGTGAACGTGGCAATATCAGCAATATCCTACAAACGGCCTTGAAACAAATGACCCACTTTATTTGGTGGATTATTGGGCAGGACACCAGGAGAAACTTCTTTCTCTTTTCGACTTGAGCTATTGGACCTGGACAGGCAGATGGGACCTCAGTTTAGGGTGTTTCATCTGAAGCGTTGCACCTTTGACAATGACACTGGAGGAGTTCACAGACAGCAACCTGGGACGTCCTCCCGATGTGAAAGGCACTTTCATAAATGTCATTTTTGTTGTTGTTTTTGTTGTCCCCGGGCTTGAACCCACAACCTTCTGACTCAGAGGTGCTATCATATGAGTCAGACTGATACCAACCTTTCTCAGAATGCAACCATCTGATCACGTACACTGTAGCAAAACACAAATTCCCAACAGAACACCTTCATAAACAACAAAACTGAAAAGAAACCTCATCCACAAATCTCTGCTAAGTACTTTACAGTCTTCATCTTTCTCATCTGTCAATAGCTCCAGTTCTAAAAATAAGATCTAAAATGAACTATTTTCCAGCAAACTCTTTAATTTGGACTGTGAGGGTAGAACTAAAGAAAACGAGTAAAAAATGAACAAGCCTCCAGCAAGACTGGGGATTAGAGGAATATTGTTTGCACGAAACAGCGGATGTGTGCAAGAGAGTCTCAGCAAAAGCAGCTGAGCAACTGCTTCAGAAAGCAACTAGATAAATGTCAGTACAGGAATAGGATTAAGGTTAACATGGATGAATAAGGTGCAGATGATCTAATACTGCATGGAACACAAGGTTCCTCTGCTACTGGGTCAAAGAAACCCCATCTATGACAGGTCAAGTTAGAGTAGTGGAAATGTGTGTCCAATATATATAATAATCCTTGCATTTGATATAGCGCCTTACCACGTCTTCGAGACATCTCAAAGCGCTTCATGGAATAATAATAATAATCCTTGCATTTGATATAGGGCTTTTCACGTCGGGAGGACGTCCCAAAGCGCTTCACAGAACACACCGTAAAGTGAATTCACTGTATATTTTGTGGGTGAAACGCTGCAGCCAACTGCACACAGCAGTGTCCCACAAACAGTTGTGGATTGAGTGACCAATTTATTATTTTTTAAGGAATTATTCCCGGAAAAGCAATCCACCAATCAACTAACAGCCAGGTTCCTGCTTACTGCTAGGTAAACAGAGGCACGTAGAGTAATGAAACTTGCCCAGCGGTTCGCCCTGTCAGGAAAGTCAGGTTTCTCACTTGCGAGGCGAGTGCTGTAACCACTGAGCTACAGATACATATAGATATTCTGGAGTATTGTTTGATTACCTTTTGGCAATTGGAAAGAAATCAACAATCCTTAAGTATAATTCCTTACATTTGATCTCGTCAAAACACTTCACAGCAGTTCACACAGTTTTCTGTAAATTTTGCTTAGAAGATTATAAAGAAATACTGCAGTCCACAATAGTGTAGCTTAGATGGGCTTTCTGGAGGGACTGGGCTTGATGGGGCCACAATGTCTTGACAGGCTCCGTTCATGTCATGCAACGACTGTATTTGAAAACAATTAATGTATATACAGTATATCCTTAAAGGATGATAAAACAAGCCAAGGGGCCATTAAAAAAACTGTAAAAATTAAACTGTAAACATTAAAAATCAATATAGTTTTACTGGCTGGTGCAGAAATCTCAGCACTATGATCAGCAAGTATAGAGTGGGGGATAAGAGACATGAGCATAAAGAGCTAAGATGAGAATGTTTTCCCCATAATGAATATAAGATTATTACTTATCGCTCTGTTTGTGGGTTCAAGTCCCATGTCAAGACTTGGAATCACATTGTCTAAGTGCAATTGTCACATTGCACTGCTGGATAGCGGTGGGGGGGGGGGGGGTTGATTCATCAGAGGTACCGTCCTTCAGATGTCACATTAAACCAAGGCCCCGTCTGTCTGATCAGGTGGATGTTGAAGATCCCATGGCACTATTCGAAAAGAAAATGGATTTTCGCCCGGCCAACAAATCTCCAAATAAAATTGATCACTCACTCCATGGCTGTTTGTGGGACATTGCTGTGCATGTGGTTGCCACATTTTTCCCACAAAATACACAGTCATTCCACTTGCGGTAGTGAGTTCCACATTCTCACCACCCTCTGTACGAGAATCACCTCCTAAATCCCTATTAGATCTACCACT